TTCATTTTCAGGGGTCGAACTTTCAAGAGCCGAAACTCTGCCGGATTGAAGAGTGAACTCGGAGCTTGAAGACCAGAAGACTTGCACCATTCAGATCTGATCCTCGGCGACCATCCACGTCAGAAAAGGCAGGATCTCGAGAGGAAGAAAGAACAGATCTGAGATCTACACGAGACTACACTCCAGATCTAAGCTTGGTCTTAGATCTCGAGATCTGAGCGATTATTCCCTTGGTGGATTAATCCCTCCCGGCTATTATTCCCTTCGTGGAATAATACCCGCATACTCGTGTAGATCCGACCGGATCTAGATCGCGCGGTGGTCCACGGATTAACCCCGGCGCAGGCAAAGAACCCACCAAAGCGAGCGACCGCAAAACAGGAGCTCGTGATTTGTTCACAGAGGAGAGTTGTAATTTTTCTTTATTTTCTTTGATTTAGTTGTAACCGGATCTATAAAAGACCGGATCTTTGTAACCCAAGATGACAATCATATCAATGAAAAAGAAAACAGTTTTCCACGCGAACAATCTGGCGACCACAGTGGGAGCCGACGATCTCGCCAACGAGATCGATGCGTCGCAGCCGCGGATTGCAATCCCGGTCGTGGAGGAGGTCGAGTACGAGTTCGACCAAGCCAAGTTCGAGGAGTACGTGTCCTCGTCCGGCTCTATCTCCCCCCGCAAGTCCAAGAAGTTCTCCTCCGGGAGAAAAGCTCGTTGGTTTGAAGCTGCTCGGGAAGCCCACGAAGCTCTCAACCCAACTGACGCCGAAGTTGCGTCAAATGAAGTTCCACCGACCTCCAATCAGGTCAACCCAACTCCCGCCAACGCCTCTACTGTTCAGGGCGTTGTGACTCTCTCAAAGAGAGCCCGCCAGAGGCGTCGTCAACGCCTTGCGCGGCAATTCGCTAAGGCGATGGAGTCTACGGACGGATTCCGCTACCACGCGGAGTTGAAGAACAGAAGAGGCAAACAGCCTCAACCACCAATGAATGGCGACTCTTCCAAGCCGCCAAAGAAAGAATGGGTCCGCGTCAAACGGAACCGTTCGACGCTCGAGGAGCGCATTCACAAGCGCCGCGCGATGTCAGCGCAGGCACGGGCTCAAGCTCAGGAAGCCCGTAGAAAGCTGCAAAAGGAGGTGGAGAAGAAGCCACCACCAACACGACAAGTCTGGAAGCCTAAGTCTGAAGTGGCGACTCAGGCCAAAAAGCAACCAGTGCAGCCTTCTAAGGAAGGTCAAACTCCGGCGAGTCAACCAAAGTCGCCGTCAATCCCAATAACTTCTCCGGGAGATCATGCAGAGTCATCCCGCAAGAAGAAACCAATTTTGGAGCGCCTCGGTCCAATTCCTGACGTGAGAGGCAAAGCTCCAATTCACGAGCGTTTGGGCCCGATGAAGAAGCCCAGAACGACTCAACATACTGGGGGTCGCCATCACCTCCAGCATGACAAAGACCTCAAGGCAGCTGCGCGCACCAATTTGCGCATTGAAGTCCAAGATCACGCCGAAAATTCACGCCCAAAAAGGCATGTTTTGAGGCGGGTAACCTTTGAAAGCCCAAAGAAGGCAAGTCAACCTCAGATGGAAACATTATCATCTGATAATGATTGTGTTGTACCTGAGAAGGCGTGCCCGCACACGATAGGTTACTCTGACTGTCAAAATGACGAGTTGTACTATCGTGCTGGGGGTACGAATAGAACCAGGAAGAGGAGTCCCCGAGAACGGGAAATTCAATGTCCCTGTTCCAAACTCATTCGGGCGGTATTGTCGGAATGCAATTGCATTAAGGCGGTCCCCGAAAGAGTTTCAGTTTTTGAAAGACTTAATGCGGAAACGCCAAAACCAAGGCCTAGGCGCTTCCAACGAAGAAGAAGGGTGATTGAAGACGGAGAATTTCCGAGGGTCACCACCAACATGACGAGCAAAGGGACATCGGCACGAGAAGATTTCGAGTCGATTCTGAAAGCTTCCCGACCTAGAACCCGTCTGCAGTCCGGAACCATAGAGCGAGCAACTTATGGTAGGATTCGGACAAGACGCCCTTCAGAAGATGAAGAATCTGATGCCGGCTCCGCGGTGGCATCAGATAATACAGTATCCAGCGAGGGACAACCCCGCGAGGCCCTGATGATAAGTGCGGAGCAGATGGCCAAGATGCTTGAAGACGCTTTGGCTAAGCAGAAAGAAAGTTTCAAATTTGAGATGGAGATGGCCATGCAGCAGATGAGAGAAATGCATGACCAACAGATCCAAGCATTGGCGAACCAACAAGGCGAGCAGAATCATCGTAACCCGATTAATGTGGAAGATGAGGATACAAATGCTCGTAACACCAATGATCCTCCCGTCAACGCAGGGGGTGGTAATGAGAATGCTGGCGAAGAAACCGGCGAAAACCTGAAGATCAAGAACCTCGAGAGCAAAATCAACACACTAATTTCCGCTCAAGAGACGAAGAAAACAGGCATTCCTTGCCCATACCCAAGAGAATGGGAATCGATCCCATATCCGGCGAAGTTTAATCTAATTAACTTCACGCCGTTTAATGGGATGGGTTCACCTACCCAGCATTTGATTTACTTCAAATCGCATTTGGGGGTGATCTCTGGTAATGAGCCTCTGATGGTGCGGTCATTCGTCGGCACTCTTCGCGGAGCCGCCTTCGATTGGTATCGCCGCCTCAAGCCAGGCAGCGTAAACAGCTGGGATGACATGGAGACCAAGTTCCTGGCCAACTTCTTCGACGACGACACCGAGATATCTATCGGATCGTTGCTCGATGAGAAGCAGAAGGACGGAGAGTTAGTCGATACCTTCGTCAAAAGATTCCGGAACAAGGCGATGAATTGCCGGGACCCGATCACCGAGGAATTCATCCTCCAGACCTGCCACAACAACCTCGCGTTGGACGTGCTAGAAGCAATGGGGACAGCACCATCCAATACATGGAAGGACTTGAAAGTCCGGGGAGAGCAAGCTGAGCGATTCCTCAAGAGGAAGAAGGCGGAAAGAGGCCAACCGGCGACGAGTGTTCCAAAGCAAAACTTCGTCCCACGGGGGAAAGGTAAGGCACAAGCTAATGCAGTTGATGCTAATCAAACCTTTCAATTGCAACCACAGCAACAGCAGCCACAGCAACAAGCACCCCAACAATCTCGAGGACAATGGCAACAACGGCCTCAGAAGCAGAAATCTGCGGAGCCGAGGTTTCCTAAAGTGTACTCCTTCAAGGATGATGAAGTTCCCGGCATCTTCAAATACCTGTTGGAGAACAACAAGATCCAGTTGCCGGCGATCGTGGATCAAGAAGGGGCCAGCAAAGTGACGGATCCAAAGTACTGCGCGTACCACAGAGCGGTCCACCACCCTACGAGATCATGCTACCACCTCAAGGACAAGATCCAGGCGTTAATCGACGTAGGAGTCATAACCCCGAAACCAGCCAAGAATGTGGGGGCCAACGCAGTGTCAATCAGTTTTGGGTCGGTGCCTACGGCTTGGTTCGAGCCAAAACGCGTCACCAAAGTCGGGATGAAGACGGTGAATGACGATCCGCACGGACAGCGCCAAAAGGGACTTGTGCCGCACACAATCCCAAATGGCGAAATCCTTTGGGTCCATCCAGATCTGATTGGGGATGAACAATAGGCTGGTTCGTCATCCGAGAGAAAGTCGAAAGGAAAAGGGAAGTCTTGTTATGGAGTCTCTGCTATCCC